AAAAAAAAAAAAAAAAAAAAAAAAAAGGAATCAGAAGCAACCATTCTCCTCTTTTGTAGTGTTTACTTCAGTACCCAGTAGGGTTGTAGAAGCTTACCGTTGTTCTTCGAATGTTGAGTTTAATTATAACTTCACTTCTGAAAGCATGTAATTAATCCGTTACCACTCGTTAAAATACACTCATAATACGAAATTATTTATACTCTCGATGTATAAGTTAAAAATATTACATAGAATTTTATATGAACGGTTCTGTAGTGGCTTGTTACAAATTCATGATACATTTATATTTTTAATAAAGTTACCCAGATAGAAGTCTAAATTGTGTTGTATTTCAGAAAAGTGTAGTGAGGGGGACCGTGTCTTACATCAGATATAATACAACGTGGTGATTCTATNATATATATATGAATTTTACACTACTCTAGCTGCTTGGAACCTTCCTTAGCCAAAAGATTTACTTGCCCGAAGTTATGCCGGACCATCTGCGTCATTCACCTTAATAATTAACCAACTGCGGATAATACGTCTAACTATTAAAGACTTGCTTCTATAGTTCAAACAATAAAGCGAAGAAATGTCTTGAGACTCCAGGTACTGTTAAATGAACAAACACACGCACATACTTTATGCTTATTTATTGCATATGTATCGATTTTAATTTGTATTTTTAAACAAGTGAATCGAGCCCAGAATGGAATTTCCAATTTCTTTTGGACGGTAATTACATGTTGACGATGTTATTGACATACCATACAGGAGATTCATGTCACTGGAAATTATTGTAATATACCCTATGCATTAAATATTTTCCTGTTCTCATAGAGTTCAAAAAATCTCTTTTACAATAATTATGTCATCATTTTTCACCTAAAAATTTCCACTAGCCGGTGTTTTTTCCAGTTTTGCTGCAGCATTGCTGTTTGTCTTATTGCTTTTGGGTCATCATTTTCATGCCTTCAAAAGTTTTGCACCACTAAATAGTGGAGCAATATTAGACTAAAAACTACCTGTAGTTAACGTTTTACTCACTTAGTTGGCCTACACGCGTGGCTAATTCAGATTAGACGGACTAGTGGACTTGGGATACCGGTTAAAGAAGGACTTGAAATTATCTGGATAAAAACTTTAGTAAATCGAATTTGATTGTACAAATTTGGCAGGAAATAAAAATAAGTACAAGATCATACTGTGTTAAGGTGTTGGAATTCTGAGGAGAATTGGTCCTTTGATTGACTGCTAGTCTGCAGTGTACGTACCTTACTCATCTCTCAGAAGATACCGTTGCTTACCTTAGAGAGCTTCATTTTTCAAATTTCTGTTTCCTTTTTATGGAGAATCAGCATCTTCTGTTCTACTCTTAAGAGGAAGTAATAGTCCTCTTTCTGAACTGCCTCTCAAAAAGTCATTTCATGCCATTCTCTTGCTCTTTTTCTTTTGCACTTTTGGCTATGGTACTTGTACTATCAAATATATGTTTCATCATTTTCTTATACGCACGAAATACCTCTCTTGTACGGTAGCGTAGATAAGTTATATATAGTACAGTTTTATCTTAATCAAAGAGTAGGGGTTTATGACTAATATGATCTTTTTAGAAACCTAACATGAAAAAATAAAAATTGTTTAGTGTGTAAATTAAACCAGCTACCCTCTTGTTTCATACAGTGTGACGTTCGATATTTCTATTATTCGACATTTAGGGTAACATTACTTTTTTTTTTTATTTATAAAACTGCCCATTAATACCTGGGCTGGGATATATTCATCTTCCGACAAAAACCATGTTTGGAGGGGCCTTGGCCTAACCTCCAATTACAATGCATTGCTTAGTGTAAGCTTAACCAGTAAGATATAGATGAGGAGGGGGTTTATGGACAAAAATAAATTTATTATCCTCTCCTTTTCCTATGTTTAACTAACAAAAAAGTTACATTTTTCATATCTAATTCTAAAAGTGGGCATTTGCCATTTATCCATCAGGAAGAGTCCTTTAGCACCTTTAGACTACTGATGAAAGGACGAGTAAATAATTCCCTCTGTTAGATTAGAAGCATCTTTGGCCAACCAGTCCGCCACTTGGTTTGTTTCTCTTAGGCAGTGACTAATTGTGATATGATCATGATCGGTGTAGCTAATGATATCTTCAAGCTCTCTTCTCAATTTGTTGTTTTGAGTTGCTCTTTGCCTGATCATGGTACAGATAACTAAGGAGTCCATCTCCAATGTAAAATTGGGAATCCTTTGGTTCATACACCATTTAGCAGCAAACTTAACAGCTTTCAATTCAGCCATGTTGCTATTGTTGCATTGTAAAGGAACAGAGAATGCCATGATAAAATCACCATGCTCATTTCTAACTTTTCCTCCAATGCCTCCTGTCTTAGTATCCTTGAAGAAGCTACCATCTGTGTGTACTTTCAAGTTACCAACTTCTGGCATCTCCCATTGAACTTTCATCCATGTAACAGATGGTTTTAACTTTTCAATCATCTCACAAGCTTTGGACCAAGGAAGATGAATAGTAATGTTTGGATAAGTTCTCGATACAGCTGCCTTAACATTCCAGAGAATTTGATTGATCATCTTGTATAGATAATATCTAGTGTTTTCGCCATATTTACATGCAGTATAGCTTCTCCATATTTCCCAGATAATACAAATTGGAATAATTTGTAACACCATTTTGTGGATCATGTTCTTTGGTTTCCTCTGCCACCATTGAGTAAGAATCCCTCTAATGGTATCAGTATACCACTGAATGCCCAGAGGATTCCCAAAGAACTTCCACAGTCTGATAGCAACCTCACTATCAAAGAATACATGTTTCAAGGTTTCACAATTATGATCTCTACAGCAAAGACATTTAGACACAATGTGATTCCCAAATTTGTTAATAGTATCATCAAAAGGCAACTTTTTTTAAATCATTCTCCAGCACAAGAAAGATTGTTTAAAAGGAATCGAGTTATGCCAAACCTTGTTATTAAAATCATCTTTAGGTTTAGTTGCCCTAACCAAATGCCAAGCTGAATTGTTGGAATAAATATCATCCTTAGTCAAGTTCCATATGGCATAGTCATTTCGCTCACGGTTGCCTCTTGGTATACTCTGAATATGTTGAACCACATCAGCAGGCACAAGATTAGCTAAGTTATCCAAATTTCAGCAGCTATAAGAAAAGAATTTAGACACCAAGGTTTTACTCGGTCTAACAGCGGCATATGTGGTGAAAGCCAACGGACGTTTACAGTCCAATCATCCCACCAAAAACTGCAATTACCAGAATTCACTACCCATTTAATGTTGTTTTCTGCCTTCTCTCTGATTTGGGTAAGACCTTTCCAAAGATTTGAATTTCCAGATGTCCAACATTTAGAGACAGCATGAGATCTCACACAATATTTAGCTTTGAGAAAACTTGCCCATAAGGATGGACATGTCCTGAATCTCCACCACCTCTTTACTGCACAAACATCATTGACTTCCTCCATACTTCTAATGCCAATCCCTCCTTTTTTTAGGAAACATAACTTTTTCCATGAGCTCTAATGGTAGTTATCTTTGCCATCAACTGAGCCCCACAGAAATCTAGCAAAATGTTTCTCAATCAGCTTCAAAGTAGTCTTTGGAGGACTCATAGCAGAAAGTGTATGTATAACATTTTTAATTAGAACCACTTTTCCCCCGTAAGATAACATCTTTCCTTTCCATCTACCTAATCTTTTAACAATCTTTGCAACCATATCATCAAAGTAACATATTCTTTTTCTCCCCACATATATAGGACATCCCAAATAAGTGAAAGGAAAGTTTTTATCCATAAAACCAGTGGAGTTTCTAATTCTGTTAATTCTACTTGCTTTTGTATTAGGAGCAACTACGAAAAAACTTTTATTCGTATTTATTCTTTGCCCTGATACTTTCTCCTAAATATGAATTTGATCCATAATTAGCTTGATAGTCTTATTGTTCCCAGCACTAAAGATAATAATATCATATGCATAGGCAAAGTGATTGATCTGAGGGCCTCTGCTATTCATAGAGAAAGGAGTGAAGTTATCCATATTGTGCAACCTATTCAGCATTCTGGAAAGAACTTCTGAACCAAGAATGAACAGTGATGGGGAAAGAGGGTCCCCTTATTTCAAGCCTTGGGAAGATTTGAAAAAACCTTTTCGAGTGCCATTAATAATGACAGAATACCATACATTTGATATCAAGTTCCAAACAATATCAATCCAGATTTTAGAAAAACCAAACTTTCTCATTACTGCAGAAATGAAGGTCCAGGACATTCTGTCATAAGTTTTCTCCATGTCTATCTTTAAAACAATGTTTCCCCCTTTATTGTATTCATTAATACCTTGAATAATCTCTTGAGCCAGGAGGACATTTTCAGTAATAAGCCTGCCTTTCACAAAGCCACTTTAATTGTCAGATATAAGCTTGGGCAGGAGAGAGTTGAATCTTTTAGCCAAGATTTTAGTAATAATCTTGCTAGAGAAGTTGCTTAAGCTAATGGGTCTCATTTCAGAGAAAGTCTGAGGGGATTCAATTTTAGGAATAAGGGCCATGCAAGTGTGAGAGAAATATTTGGAGAGTTGTTTCCCATTGAAAAAATCTTGGACAAACTCCACGACATCTTCTTTGATAATATTCCAACAGTTTTGATAGAAAGAACCATTTAAACCATCCGGGCCAACAACATTATTTGAACTCATGTTGAAGATCGCATCCTTGATTTCCTCATCTTCAGGTATAGCAGTAAGCATTTCGTTTTCATATTCAGTGATGGAGTTAGGAAGACATTCTAGAATGTCCAAATTTATCTCATGGTGAGGTAAATTGAATAACTTTTGATAATGATTGATAGCAGCCTTAGTGATCTTCTCCTCTGATGTAACCCAATTGCCTTTGTGGTTCTTGATTCTATGAATCTGCAATTTTCTTCTTCTTTCCCTAATAACACTACGAAAATATTTAGTGTGACAATCTCCCTCCTCAAACCATTTGATTTGAGACTTTTGTTTCAATTGGGATTCTTGCATGGATAGCCATCTAACATATTCAGCATGGCATTTGTTGTTGTCCTCTCTGCTCTAATCTGTATTCTGCATTATGTCTACATCTTCCATAGTTTGAGCTTGAAGTTCCCATTTAACAACCTGATCATATACATTACCAATATCTTTTTTGGACCATATAGTCAATTTCCTGCTAAGAATCTTTAATTTCTGTTGTAATCTCCACATAGGATTACCATGTATTTGAGTATCCCAAACTTCCTTCACAATATGATAAAAGTTGAGTTCAGAAGTTCAGAAATCTAAAGTAGCTAATAGTGTGAATATTGTTATTGCTATTATTCATCAACAATGGCCTATGATCAGATCCAGTTCTAGTCAAATGCCTGACAGTGTTGGTTTGTAAAGTTTGGGCCCATTGAGCATTGATGAAAATTCTATCTAGTCTCTTCCACACCCTTTTACTTGGTCTCCAATTGTTGCACCATGTGTATTTCGGGCCTAGAAACCCCAGATCAACCAATTCACAACTGATGAAATCAAAGCTTTTGTATAATATGTGAGGCATACCACCTAATTTTTCATCTGGATCTATGATGATATTAAAATCCCCTCCAACACACCATGGACCATTAACCAAAGGATATACATTTTCCAGACTACTCCATAGGTCTTTCCTCTCCATAGCTGTACATTTTGCATAAACCACAGAGAAGCATAGTTTATTATCAATCATATCATGTTTGATTTGCAGAGTAATTTGTTGTTCTTCATTAGCAATGACCTTAGCTTGACAATTTTGTTTCCAGAAATACCAAATTTGTCCATTTATGTTCGCTTGACAGTGATGAAATCCCAGGAATCTCATGTAACCTTGAATCTTGTCTTTATTAGAGAAAGGTTCCATAATAGTTGCGAAATCTATTTTGTTGATAATACAAAGTTTTTTGAGCCTGTGAATGGCTTTTTGTGATCTCACTCCTCTTATATTCCATATGATTGTATTAATCATGGAATAATATAGAAAATGATCAATTTTTGACTCCTTCCCCTCAAGGAAGGATTATTTTTGTTCTTGTCATTTTTTCTATTTTCTTAGTTCTGCTTCTGCCTCTTTCTATAGGAAATATTCCTTCTTTATTAACTACCTCTCTCATGTGAGTATGAGCTGGATCATCTGGTTGCCTGTTGAATGTATGCTCACAACTTATTGGCTGAACTGTAACATGTTGATCATTGTTCCCATTATCAATGTCGGCAGATGATCCTATTTTCTTTTTCTCTAATGTATCACCCTCCAAATGAACCACAAGATCAATACCAGAATGATTTTTAACTTCTGATGGCAGGCTACCAGAATCAGAAATAGTATCTCGTGCCTCCTAGTTTTCATTATCAGCTTGTTCCCCCTTGTTAACACTCTCCGTGTCCTGGATTGCCTCATTTGTATTGGCCCCCATTATGTTTTTGATTGATGTTTCCACCTCTTTTAATTTTTTTCTTGCACCTTCAACACTTTGATGTACCTCTGCAACAAGATTCAAACTTTCCTCCATAATTGTTTCCATAGTATCTTGCCTTACACTAATGTTTATAAAAGGTTGGCTCATCTTCCTACTTCCCTTTTTGATAATTGTAGGCTTAAATATGACGGAGCTTTTCTTTTGTGGCATCTTTTTTTTCCTGCGTTTCTTCTTTTTCTTACCAAGCTTTTCAGTGCTGCCCAGATCATTCTCTTTAGTGTCACCTTGTTCAATGTACTCGGCCTGATGTACTTTATGTATATTGGTCTTTTTGGTCTCCTCTTGAGTAGTAACTTTATTGTTCCACTATTTTTTCTGCTTGTTCCTTTTGGTATTTGGTAATTGCCACTGTCCACCATCGTCATTGTCATTGTTATGGTCTGTTGTACCCTTTTTATATTTTTCTTTGCTATTGTCTCCCTTTTCCATCCCTAGTCTTTCATTTGTTACATCCCTTGTATTCTGCTTTTTACCATTAGTTAGATTGTGGGAGGTATTGCTTGTAACCTCCATTACATTGTCACCAACAAGTTCATCTTTTCCTTTTCTGATTTCTTCTTCCCTAGCCTCAGCAATTTTCTTCCTTTCAAGCACTCGACAGTTAATCATATTATGACTGAGCTTTTTACAGAATTTGCAATACTTAGGTATACCCTCGTATTCAAGTTTTTGCACAAACCCCTTTTGAGGAGAATCTTCATAAATCTGCCCCACATATACATTTTCAGGTTGTGGTTTTAACAAATCTATTTCAATTCTAACTTTTGCCATACTTGGTCTAGTTCTTCCTCTGGTGGCCAAGTCCATTTCAAGAGGAATACCTATGGAGCTAACAACTTGTTTGACATAGTGCCAAGTATGCATATGAAAATGGAAGACCGGGAAGGAGAACCCATACTGGCGCAATAGGAAGGTCTTCCTCTGGTTTGAAATCCGGCGACAACCTCTGCAACCACATTTGTTGTCCCTCTATCTCAATAACCCTTTTGTACCAGACCATTTGGAAATCTTCTTCATTTGTGAAGTCTAGGAAGACATTGAAGTTGTCGTAGACCCCAATCTTAGCCGAGCCCTTAACAGATATTTTTTCCTTGAATTTGGATCTGATTCGATCGATTTAAGGCCTTGGTCTAAGGAATCTTCCTATAATTGTAAACTTACACTCTTCTGCCATGATGTCGTAGTAATCAGTTGCCTTAAACATCACCGTCGGCATTCCATTGTGAGTCGTTTGTATAGCAAAAACCAACTCCCGTTCATGACGACTGGAAGTTGCAGTTGAGTTGGGTGATGGCGTGATTTTTGTCGCATAGGAGATCTTTTTATCAATAGCATCAGTATTTGTGTTCGCCATAGCAGCAGAAATGTTTATGCCTTCCAGACGGGCCGAATTGACGCCGTCCGGAGGGTATATCGTGGTGGAGCGCGTAATGAACTCGTGAAATTAGGCATCCGTTGGGTCTTTTCTGGAGAGAGAAAAGAGCTAGTCCAGGGTAACATTACTTACTTTAGGTAATGAGGAATCAATTCCTATTAGAAGAATTGATTCTTGCCAACCAAGTTTAGCTGCGGTGACATACCTTTCTTCAGTTCAGCAGAATGTTTTGATTGAAATGAAAAGGCAAATACATGTGCTACCCCAGCGTCCAAGGGAGTCCGAAACCTTTTTAATCATTTTTTGGACAAAAAATACTTTTGTACTACTTTAAAAAAAAGTTACATAAATGAGTAAAACGCAGTATTATACTGCGTTTTTGTTTAATTTTTTTTTTGTAAATCGCAGTACTATACTACGTTTTACTAAGATGCTGGGCCCAGCAATATTTTATTAAAGCTGTTCGTAGTATTATACTGTGTTTTACTTAAAACGCAGTATAATACTGCGAACAACTTCAATAAAATATAGCCCCTTCTTCTTCCTTGGACCACTAAACCGAAGGAAAC